CTGCAGTTACCTTTGTTCTTATGTTCTTATGTTCTTATGGCTATACCAAAGGAAACAGAGAGTTAGTATAAATGGAGTCAAGTTAACCAGCAGTAAAGGGACCTCGTCTTGGAGAGTTGCGAAAGACAGGGGCCTTAAGAAGACTTTGATAAAGCCGCCTTCAAACGCCATAGCAACTTCAAATTCATTTGACGTTTTGGAGGACGAGTGCTGTGGAGAGACTGTGGATCGCGCAAAAGGGAAAGCAACGAAGAGAAAGGAAGCGCAGGCCCCTCAGAAAGTAAAGGAAGTACCTAAGCAAACATTAGTTGTGGGAGATTCCCAGATAAGGTATTTGGATAGAACGTTTTGTGCTAGAGATAGGGGGAACAGGTTAAGGGTTTGCTATCCCGGAGCTGGCATTGGTGATATTATAAACAACATGAATGATATTATGGCTGGTAATGGGAACAATCCCATTATTTGCATTAGCGTGGGAGGAAATGATGTTGGTCGAGTCAGGAGTGAGGAACTGATTCAGAGGTATAAAACAGCCATAGAGTTAGTTAGGAGCAAGGGAGGAATCCCGATCATATGTGGCATTCTTCCAAGAAAGGGAGTGGGAAATGAATGGATATCGAGGGCACTTGGTGTCAATTGCCGGCTGGAAAGATATTGCAAATCAAATGCAATATCTTTCATAGACAACTGGGAACACTTCTATGGAAGAAATGAAATGTATGCTCGTGATGGGGTGCATCTATCGAGAGCTGGGGTTGTTGCTGTTGCGAACTCGCTAGAAGAAGTGGTTAGAGGTGTTTGTTTGGGTTTAAACTGTTAGTAGATAGAGGTATGGGAATTGATTTGGAGGAAGGAGGTAATAAAAGTATGTGTTTGTGGGAGAAAGGAATTGGCAAAACGATCAGGGAAAGAGAAGGTCCGCAAAATAACAATTCACTTAGGGTATATTACACTAACAGTAGAAGTCTAAGAAATAAAATTAACGAATTAAATGCTCTTGTCTGCACAGAAAAAATAGATATTATTGCACTTACCGAAACGTGGATGAATGTAGAAAATAGAGAACTATTAGCTGAATATCAAATATATGGATTTAAACTATTTCACACAGATAGATATATTAGACGAGGAGGTGGAGTAGCCATATATGTTAGGGACAATTTGAAATGTAGTCTCAAAGAGGGAATCAAAACAGAGCCACACACAGAAACTATTTGGATTGAATTAAACGAAAAAGCTAATAATATTATAATAGGAGTAATATATAGGCCACCAAATTTAGACAGAATGGAAGCAAAGCATCTATGGGATGAAATATTTAGAGCATCTAGATCTAACAGTATTTATGTCATGGGTGACTTTAATTTTAGCGGAATAAACTGGTTGAACAAAACAGGGAATAGTGAAGCAGAAGATTTTCTAGAATTAATTGACGATTGCTTTCTTACGCAACACATTAAGGAACCAACACGGGAAAATAATATTTTAGATTTAGTGTTAACTAACAGGGAAACGCAAATTAATGACATCGAAATAGGGAGTGAGCTAGGGAGCAGTGATCACAAAGAAATCAGATTTAGCATAGAATGGAATAGACCAGTAGGAGAAAATTCTGTTAAAGTGCCAGATTTTCGAAAAGCTGATTTTAATAGCCTAAGAAATTTTTTGGGTCAAATTGATTGGAAAGGCTTGGGTATGGGGTGTGGGCCGGTCTTGGAGCGAGACATGAACCCAGCGATAGGTGACTTAAATGGGGATTTCGATGTGGATTCAATATATAACTTATTTAAGAATATTCTAAACAAAGCACAGGAACGTAGTATACCATACAAATTGAATAGATCGTATACTAATGACCCAAAGTGGATAACAAAGAATTTGAAGAACCTTATAGGTAAAAAGAGAGCTTGGTACAAAAGGATTAAAAATGGGGAGGTCACTTTAGAACAGGAATTCGTACAACTGGTTAGAAATGTTAAAAAAGAGATAAGGAAAGCAAAAAGAAACTATGAAGTTCGCATAGCAGGGCAAGCAAAGACAAATCCTAAAGGTTTTTTTCAGTTATATCGTACTAAGACTAGGGAAAGGATAGGTCCATTAAAAACTGAGACAGGTCAAATAACAGATAGTGATGAAGAGATGAGTAGTATTTTTAATAAATATTTTGTATCTGTATTTACTAAAGAGGAACTTAACAATATGCCTTCAGCCGAACAAGTCTATGTGGGTGGGGACGAGGACAGGTTGACGAGTTTAGCAGTTACCAGGGAGGATGTTCTTAAACAAATAGTAAAACTCAAACCAAACAAATCCCCAGGGCCGGATGAAGTGTTTGCTAGGGTGCTTAAAGAATGCAAAGAGGAGCTTTGTGACCCACTGTCAACCATATTTAATAAATCAATAGAGTCAGGCAGAGTGCCAGAGTTTTGGAAAGTTGCTAATGTGATACCAGTTTTTAAGAAAGGAGATAGATCACTTGCGTCTAACTATCGACCAATTAGCCTAACGTCTATTGTGGGAAAGTTACTCGAATCTATAATAGCAAATAAAATTCGTCTTCATCTTGAAAAACATAAATTAATAATTGAGTCGCAACATGGTTTTATAAATGGCCGTTCATGTTTAACAAATTTGTTATCTTTTTATTCTAGCATTGTTGAGGCAGTTGATAGTGGTAAGGATTGCGATGTTGTATACCTTGACTTTAGCAAAGCTTTTGATACAGTGCCACATGAAAGACTGATTAAAAAAATAGAGTCTCATGGTATTGGGGGTGCTATATTAAGCTGGATTAGGGCATGGCTATACCAAAGGAAACAGAGAGTTAGTATAAATGGAATCAAGTCAGAGTGGGAGAATGTTGTAAGTGGAGTGCCTCAAGGCTCTGTCCTGGGACCTCTGTTGTTTATAATATATATAAATGATTTAGATTCAGGTTTGAGTAGCAACATTTGCAAATTTGCCGATGATACGAAAATCGGTAGGGAAATTAATTCGGAGGAGGACTCACTATCACTTCAAGTTGATCTAGATAGGGTTTTGAAATGGTCAAAGGATTGGCAGATGCAGTTTAATGCTGATAAATGTAAAGTTCTGAGGTTAGGTAATGATGATAGAGTTACAAGATACGAGCTAGATGGTGTTGTGATTGCGAAGTCGGATTGCGAAAGGGATCTGGGAGTTATGATTAGTAAGAATTTAAAACAAAAGGATCAATGCATAAATGTTCGTAATAAGGCAAATCGGACACTTGGATTTATTAATCGCAGCGTTAGTAACAAGACACCTGGTGTGGTTCTCAAGCTATATCTTGCTCTAGTTAGGCCCCATTTAGATTATGCAGTTCAGTTTTGGTCGCCATATTATAGAATGGATATAAATTCACTTGAACGTGTCCAGCGTAGGATGACTAAGTTAATTCCCCAAATTAGAAATCTTTCATATGAAGAAAGATTAACAAAGCTTAAGTTGCATTCACTGGAAAGGCGAAGAGTTAGGGGTGACATGATAGAGGTTTACAAGTGGATGAATGGTCATAACCGGGGAGATATTAATAGGGTATTAAAAGTATCAACACAGGACAGAACACGAAACAATGGATATAAATTGGATAAGTTTAGATTTAGGAAAGACTTGGGTAAATACTGGTTCAGTAACAGGGTTGTTGATTTGTGGAACCAATTGCCGCGTAACATTGTGGAGGTGGGGTCCCTCGATTGTTTCAAGCACGGGTTGGACAAGTATATGAGTGGGATTGGGTGGTTATAGAATAGGAGCTGCCTCGTATGGGCCAATAGGCCTTCTGCAGTTACCTTTGTTCTTATGTTCTTATGTTCTTAAGTCAGAGTGGGAAAATGTTGTAAGTGGGGTGCCTCAGGGCTCTGTCCTGGGACCTCTGTTGTTTATAATATATATAAATGATTTAGATTCAGGTTTGAGTAGCAACATTTGCAAAGTTGCCGATGATACGAAAATCGGTAGGGAAATTAATTCGGAGGAGGACTCACTATCACTTCAAGTTGATCTAGATAGGGTTTTGAAATGGTCGAAGGATTGGCCGATGCAGTTTAATGCTGATAAATGTAAAGTTCTGAGGTTAGGTAATGATGATAGGGTTACAAGATACGAGCTAGATGGTGTTGAGATTGCGAAGTCGAATTGCGAAAGGGATCTGGGAGTTATGATTAGCAAGAATTTAAAACAAAAGGATCAATGCATAAATGTTCTTAATAAGGCAAATCGGACACTTGGATTTATTAATCGCAGCGTTAGTAACAAGACACCTGGTGTGGTTCTCAAGCTATATCTTGCTCTAGTTAGGCCCCATTTAGATTATGCAGTTCAGTTTTGGTCGCCATATTATAGAATGGATATAAATTCACTTGAACGTGTCCAGCGTAGGATGACTAAGTTAATTCCCCAAATTAGAAATCTTTCATATGAAGAAAGATTAACAAAGCTTAAGTTGCATACCAACTTTACTTTCACTGGAAAGGCGAAGAGTTAGGGGTGACATGATAGAGGTTTACAAGTGGGTGAATGGACATAACAAAGGGGATATTAATAGGGTATTAAAAGTATCAACACAAGACAGAACACGAAACAATGGGTATAAATTGGATAAGTTTAGATTTAGGAAAGACTTGGGTAAATACTGGTTCAGTAACAGGGTTGTTGATTTGTGGAACCAATTGCGCCGTAACATTGTGGAGGTGGGGTCCCTCGATTGTTTCAAGCATGGGTTGGACAAGTATATGAGTGGGATTGGGTGGTTATAAATAGGAGCTGCCTCGTATGGGCCAATAGGCCTTCTGCAGTTGCCTTTGTTCTTATGTTCTTAAATATGTATTTTGGGCTAGTACTGGTACTTGTACTTTTGATCCTCCCCCTTGTTTTATTTTCATGGAAAAACATCATAAATGTTGAGCCCAACTTGAGGATTATTTATAGTTGTTAAATCATAATAATTGGTTGGCAATTTTATTTTCACATATTTGCAGTAGGTCTGGCAGTGGTGGGGGTCGAAGTGGTAGTGGAAGTAGCAGCTCGACTTCTGCCACAACAACAGCTTCCACCACTCCAGCTGCTACCACCACCCCGACACCTGCACCTACCCCTGCTCAAGGTATAGTAGAACATACAGATGTAAATGTGTTTGTAGACACTATATAGAAATTAGTCTTAAACTTGAAACTCGCCTCAGCTCGAATCCTGTTCTAAACGTTGGCCCGTGCGAGGCGGCTCCTATTCTATAACCACCTATTATAACTATTCAGTCGGTCAGGTGAAGTCACAGTGAGAGGTTGTGTTGGCCGGAGCTCCTGAGTGTTGTTATATTATCATTGCAATATGGAAGTTGTAGTTAAGGACCTGGTGACTCTAGTGGGAGCCCTGAGGACAGAGTTGGACTTTCTGCGGGAGGAGGTGCGTCAGCTGAAAGAACAGCGAGAAGTAACGAAGGAGGAGACCAGTAGTAAAGGGACCTCGTCTTGGAGAGTTGTGAAAGACAGGGGCCTTAAGAAGACTTTGATAAAGCCGCCTTCAAACGCCATAGCAACTTCTAATTCATTTGACGTTTTGGAGGACGAGTGCTGTGGAGAGACTGTGGATCGCGCAAAAGGGAAAGCAACGAAGAGAAAGGAAGCGCAGGCCCCTCAGAAAGTAAAGGAAGTACCTAAGCAAACATTAGTTGTGGGAGATTCCCAGATAAGGTATTTGGATAGAACGTTTTGTGCTAGAGATAGGGGGAACAGGTTAAGGGTTTGCTATCCCGGAGCTGGCATTGGTGATATTTTAAACAACATGAATGATATTATGGCTGGTAATGGGAACAATCCCATTATTTGCATTAGCGTGGGAGGAAATGATGTTGGTCGAGTTAGGAGTGAGGAACTGATTCAGAGGTATAAAACAGCCATAGAGTTAGTTAGGAGCAAGGGAGGAATCCCGATCATATGTGGCATTCTTCCAAGAAAGGGAGTGGGTAATGAATGGATATCGAGGGCACTTGGTGTCAATTGCCGGCTGGAAAGATATTGCAAATCAAATGCAATATCTTTCATAGACAACTGGGAACACTTCTATGGAAGAAATGAAATGTATGCTCGTGATGGGGTGCATCTATCGAGAGCTGGGGTTGTTGCTGTTGCGAACTCGTTAGAAGAAGTGGTTAGAGGTGTTTGTTTGGGTTTAAACTGTTAGTAGATAGAGGTATGGGAATTGATTTGGAGGAAGGAGGTAATAAAAGTATGTGTTTGTGGGAGAAAGGAATTGGCAAAACGATCAGGGAAAGAGAAGGTCCGCAAAATAACAATTCACTTAGGGTATATTACACTAACAGTAGAAGTCTAAGAAATAAAATTAACGAATTAAATGCTCTTGTCTGCACAGAAAAAATAGATATTATTGCACTTACCGAAACGTGGATGAATGTAGAAAATAGAGAACTATTAGCTGAATATCAAATATATGGATTTAAACTATTTCACACAGATAGATATATTAGACGAGGAGGTGGAGTAGCCATATATGTTAGGGACAATTTGAAATGTAGTCTCAAAGCGGGAATCAAAACAGAGCCACACACAGAAACTATTTGGATTGAATTAAACGAAAAAGCTAATAATATTATAATAGGAGTAATATATAGGCCACCAAATTTAGACAGAATGGAAGCAAAGCATCTATGGGATGAAATATCTAGAGCATCTAGATCTAACAGTATTTATGTCATGGGTGACTTTAATTTTAGCGGAATAAACTGGTTGAACAAAACAGGGAATAGTGAAGCAGAAGATTTTCTAGAATTAATTGACGATTGCTTTCTTACGCAACACATTAAGGAACCAACACGGGAAAATAATATTTTAGATTTAGTGTTAACTAACAGGGAAACGCAAATTAATGACATCGAAATAGGGAGTGAGCTAGGGAGCAGTGATCACAAAGAAATCAGATTTAACATAGAATGGAATAGACCAGTAGGAGAAAATTCTGTTAAAGTGCCAGATTTTCGAAAAGCTGATTTTAATAGCCTAAGAAATTTTTTGGGTCAAATTGATTGGAAAGTCTTGGGTATGGGGTGGGGGCCGGTCTTGGAGCGAGACATGAACCCAGCGATAGGTGACTTAAATGGGGATTTCGATGTGGATTCAATATATAACTTATTTAAGAATATTCTAAACAAAGCACAGGAACGTAGTATACCATACAAATTGAATAGATCGAATACTAATGACCCAAAGTGGATAACAAAGAATTTGAAGAACCTTATAGGTAAAAAGAGAGCTTGGTACAAAAGGATTAAAAATGGGGAGGTCACTTTAGAACAGGAATTCGTACAACTGGTTAGAAATGTTAAAAAAGAGATAAGGAAAGCAAAAAGAAACTATGAAGTTCGCATAGCAGGGCAATCAAAGACAAATCCTAAAGGGTTTTTTCAGTTATATCGTACCAAGACTAGGGAAAGGATAGGTCCATTAAAAACTGAGACAGGTCAAATAACAGATAGTGATGAAGAGATGAGTAGTATTTTTAATAAATATTTTGTATCTGTATTTACTAAAGAGGAACTTAACAATATGCCTTCAGCCGAACAAGTCTATGTGGGTGGGGACGAGGACAGGTTGACGAGTTTAGCAGTTACCAGGGAGGATGTTCTTAAACAAATAGTAAAACTCAAACCAAACAAATCCCCAGGGCCGGATGAAGTGTTTGCCAGGGTGCTTAAAGAATGCAAAGAGGAGCTTTGTGACCCACTGTCAACCATATTTAATAAATCAATAGAGACAGGCAGAGTGCCAGAGTTTTGGAAAGTTGCTAATGTGATACCAGTTTTTAAGAAAGGAGATAGATCACTTGCGTCTAACTATCGACCAATTAGCCTAACGTCTATTGTGGGAAAGTTACTCGAATCTATAATAGCAAATAAAATTCGTCTTCATCTTGAAAAACATAAATTAATAATTGAGTCGCAACATGGTTTTATAAATGGCCGTTCATGTTTAACAAATTTGTTATCTTTTTATTCTAGCATTGTTGAGGCAGTTGATAGTGGTAAGGATTGCGATGTTGTATACCTTGACTTTAGCAAAGCTTTTGATACAGTGCCACATGAAAGACTGATTAAAAAGATAGAGTCTCATGGTATTGGGGGTGCTATATTAAGCTGGATTAGGGCATGGCTATACCAAAGGAAACAGAGAGTTAGTATAAATGGAATCAAGTCAGAGTGGGAAAATGTTGTAAGTGGAGTGCCTCAAGGCTCTGTCCTGGGACCTCTGTTGTTTATAATATATATAAATGATTTAGATTCAGGTTTGAGTAGCAACATTTGCAAATTTGCCGATGATACGAAAATCGGTAGGGAAATTAATTCGGAGGAGAACTCACTATCACTTCAAGTTGATCTAGATAGGGTTTTGAAATGGTCAAAGGATTGGCAGATGCAGTTTAATGCTGATAAATGTAAAGTTCTGAGGTTAGGTAATGATGATAGAGTTACAAGATACGAGCTAGATGGTGTTGTGATTGCGAAGTCGGATTGCGAAAGGGATCTGGGAGTTGTGATTGGTGAGAATTTGGGGCAGGGGGATCGATGCATGAATGTTCGTGGTGGGGCGAATCGGACACTTGGATTTATTGGTCGCAGCGTTGGTGGCAAGACGCCTGGTGTGGTTCTCGGGCTGTGTCTTGCTCTGGTTGGGCCCCATTTGGATTGTGCAGTTCGGTTTTGGTCGCCGTGTTGTGGAGTGGATGTGAATTCACTTGAACGTGTCCAGCGTGGGATGACTGGGTTGGTTCCCCAAATTGGAGGTCTTTCGTGTGAGGAAAGATTGACGGGGCTTGGGTTGCATTCGCTGGAAAGGCGAAGAGTTGGGGGTGACATGGTGGAGGTTTGCGGGTGGATGAATGGACATAGCCGGGGGGATGTTGATGGGGTGTTGAAGGTATCGACACGGGACGGAACACGAGGCGGTGGATATAAGTTGGATAAGTTTAGATTTAGGAAAGACTTGGGTAAATACTGGTTCAGTAACAGGGTTGTTGATTTGTGGAACCAATTGCCGCGTAACATTGTGGAGGTGGGGTCCCTCGATTGTTTCAAGCACGGGTTGGACAAGTATATGAGTGGGATTGGGTGGTTATAGAATAGGAGCTGCCTCGTATGGGCCAATAGGCCTTCTGCAGTTACCTTTGTTCTTATGTTCTTATGTTCTTATGTACAGCACTGAGAACAGCGATGGTCTGGCATCTTTCAGGGGGTCAGCATTATATTACTGATAAGTGGTTGGGCCCCCATTCCCTCGCATGTCTTTGTATCCCAGTTCTTGTGCATCAGTTATCCCCACTGTGTGCTTTACAATATATAGTTATAGTGACTTGGTGTGTCTTCGTATTAATGAGCATATCTTACTGTTGTAAGCAAGTAAGCAAGCAAGTATCAACATAGGACAGAACACGAAACAATGGATATAAATTGGATAAGTTTAGATTTAGGAAAGACTTGGGTAAATACTGGTTCAGTAACAGGGTTGTTGATTTGTGGAACCAATTGCCGCGTAACATTGTGGAGGTGGGGTCCCTCGATTGTTTCAAGCACGGGTTGGACAAGTATATGAGTGGGATTGGGTGGTTATGGAATAGGAGCTGCCTCGTATGGGCCAATAGGCCTTCTGCAGTTACCTTTGTTCTTATGTTCTTAGAAACATTTAGTGAACATGACGTATACAGCGGATAACAACTTGCAAGATTTTTGTAATGTTTAGGTTTTCATGTCTCTTTGGTTTAATATTGTATACTGTTGTTTATCTATAGAAAACCCTTTGGAATTTGATCACCAAGAGACCGAAAACTTTGAGTCTGGTTACACATACCTGAACACTTGAAAAAAAATTTACTTTACAAGTAAAATGGGTGAAGGCACATATGTAATGACATTTTATTACACAATATTTGTATTTTAATAGATACAGTATTGTATTCTGTAGTTTTTGTTATACAATATTTTATATTTTAATCCTCAAAGTTTTCATACAATAATCTCAAATGCCAGTTGTATTGAATTTTAACCTAAAATGCCAAAGAATACAGGCAAAATGTATGGTTACTAACATTGCAGTTGAGGAAAGTAGTTCAACAGCTACTATTGTTTATGAGTAGGGCCTTCCTCGGTGAGTACCCAAGCCTGGACCAGGGCTCACCCGGACACTTGCAGACTGTCATCTGCATAGTGACAATGTAAATATAATCTTATAATAAACAAATAAGTGACCTTCCTTGAGGTTATCTTGAGATGATTTCGGAGCTGTAGTGTCCCCTCGGCCCGGTCCTCGCCCAGGCCTCCACCCCCAGGAAGCAGCCCGTGACAGGTGACTAACACCCAGGTACCTATTTTACTGGTAGGTAACAGGGGCATATGGTGAAAGAAACTCTGCCCAATGTTTCTCGCCGGCGCCTGGGATTGAACCACAGGATCACAAGACCAGTGTGGTGTCCACTCGGCTGACCGGCTCCCATGCAGACGCTTATCTGAAAATAGATACACTGCAAGTCTTCGTGTAGATAAAATTAATTTAAAAAAGGAAGCCAAAGAAGAATGTCATTGTGGAATAGCTGAAGGTTTGTTTAGAATATTTAATATGATAGAGGTTTACAAGTGGATGAATGGACATAACCGGGGGGATATTAATAGGGTATTAAAAGTATCAACACAGGACAGAACACGAAACAATGGATATAAATTGGATAAGTTTAGATTTAGGAAAGACTTGGGTAAATACTGGTTCAGTAACAGGGTTGTTGATTTGTGGAACCAATTGCCGCGTAACATTGTGGAGGTGGGGTCCCTCGATTGTTTCAAGCACGGGTTGGACAAGTATATGAGTGGGATTGGGTGGTTATAGAATAGGAGCTGCCTCGTATGGGCCAATAGGCCTTCTGCAGTTACCTTTGTTCTTATGTTCTTATTTCCAATTGTTGGGTAAATGCCACCATGAGACAGAGTCTTTCATTAGGGGATTATTATTGTTGTTGAGAAAAGTTAGTTATTTATGTATATAATTTTTCAGATTCTGCTAGAGGTGGGAGCAATAGCCGGGAAAGTAATAGTACTACTCCTGGCAGTGGCAGTGTTGTGCCGATTCAGTTGTCAGATTTACAGAATATTCTTTCTGGGATCTCTGTTCCACCGGATGTGTCAGGTTCACCCAGGGTTGCAGGTAAGACAAGTTGCTAGTACTTGTATGAGGGGTGTTTGGTGAGAAATGACGCAAGGTCTTCAGTTTTGAAAGGAAATTAATTCCTAGCATCAAGGTTCTTTAAGGAGATGGTTTGTGAACTGGTAGGGTCACTAGGTATATTAGGAAAGTAATGTTGTGAATTTATCATAAAATTAGAAGTACATTAAAGTGGAAAGATAGGTTGCAAGAAGAACATTGTGATTTTTATACCAGTAGGGCATAGGTCTGGCTCAGATACTGTAGGCCAAAAGATATTGTTTTTGAAGTATTGGCTAAAGTTTTATCACACATATTGTAACAAGGTTAAGGGCAAAATTGAGGGGGATGGGAAATTGACAACATTCTGTACAGTATTATCTTTCGTGCTGTACGTTATATTTTCAGTCTTTTCCACACAAGTAATCTTCAACTATCATTGTAGAAAAGCATTTGAAAGATGTATCCCCAATATTGTTTTAAAGTTCTGTCCTGTTATTTTGTAAATAGTTTTAAGTTATAATTTTTATAGACATTACCTGGTATGCTTAAGAAGGAAATTATCACTTGCCGCTTTTCCTTATCTTTAAAAGAGGTGTCGTGCCCTTTTACAGGTTTTAGTGAGTAATGCATATCGTAGGCGGTCACACATTTAATTGATACCCATTGTAAGAATTTAGTATTATTCATTACCACTCCGATAAATGTACCATAAATATTGATTTTTAGTTGTATTTGTAAATCTTTGTTTTTCCACAAGTGGATCTGAGTTCGGCCATGACTGCAGAAGCTCTTCAGCCGATCTTGACCAATGAAGATTTTGTGAATCAACTTCGTCCTTATCTTCCTGCAACGTCTGATGAGTTACCTCCTACTGAACAACTCCGCGGAACAGTCACTTCTCCTCAGTTCCAGCAGGTACAATATGCTTGTCTGGGTTTAATATGTAGTACGTATATTAATTTAATACAGACACACCTCGGTTTATGAATGCCCCTCTTTACGAACTTTTTGGGTTACAAGCCCAATTTCTTTGTGAAATCTGAATCGGATAACAAACTTTGCCTCGGGTAACGAAGTTTGTTGGTACGCGTATGGCCGACCTAGCGCATGGTGGCACAGCCACTGCGCCTCGGTTTACCGGTACCATCATGCTTGAATTCTTTGTAAAGAATTTCAGTATTTGTTGGGTTTTGGGGTTTTTGAACATAAGTTGTTGTTATATATCTTGCCATGGGTACCAAGAAAGTCTGTGGTAAGGTTCAACCTAAGAAAATAGTTGAGTTGAGACAGTAGAGGATGTCCCTTCCTCATTAAGAAAATGTGTGATGTATGGGAAGAACTGCAAAATTTTGTTGAAAAAACTCGCTCAGATAAAGCTGTAACAGGCCATTGCATTGACCTTTTAAATGACAATGTGATGTCTCACTACAGACAAGTGTTAAAATATTGGGAAAAACAAGTGTCTTTAGACAGATTCTTAGCAAGACAAGCAAGCAGTGAGCCACAGCCAGGTCCTAGTGGTACAGTACTCTTGCAAAACAGAGTACCCAAGTCATCACTTCCTGATGTTATAGTGGAAAGGGACTTTTCCCCCCCTTTCCAAACAGCAACACCTCTCTTCCCCCCCCCCCCCCTTCTTCACCATCTTCCATACACCAACAAGTCATCAGTAAAGGTAAGAAATAACTTGTACATGCTCTAGTACTCAAGATTTGGGTGAATTAAGTATAAAATTGACTTTGAAGTTAATATTTTTGGGCGTGTGGAACGAATTAATGAAATTTACATTATTTCTTATGGGGAAATTCGCTTTGGTTTTCAAATTTTCGGCTTACGAACCGTCTGTGGGAAAGGATTAAACTCTTAAATGGAGGTACCACTGTAATTGTATTATATATAATTAATATTATGTACTCAGGGCACCTAGCCTCTTAACTTAATGGATATACAGTACATAATTTGTATTCCCATGCATATACAGTACTCGTGTATGCATGTATACACCCATAATTTGTATGGGTTGAGGCAACTTTCTTGGCAAGATCAAACTTCGTAGCGTCATTGTTGGTCGTGAGCCACGGATCCATGAAAACCCGGCTGATCTGTGACATTTTGAAACTAGTAATCTTGTTTTGGAAGCTTTTGTTCCTACAAAGGTTAAAGAACGTGTACACTCTGCCTTGATGTAACATAAACCTTGACGGTTTGTTTAACCTAAAGAATTCATATAATGCCCTTCCACTTTGTATATATAACTACAGCAAAGGACTATAACATCTTGAATATACCACGGCTGGGCTTGGAGTAGAAGAAATCCTGAAACTCTCTGCAGGTACATGTTTGGTGGTGGTCGTGGCAGGTTGGGTTTGGACACCAAAATGCAAATGCACAGTTAAATGCTTTCAATACTTGTACGTAGTGTGAGTTTGCCCTAGGGGTCAATTGTGTTTACATACTGGTTGGACAGTACAAAAATTAAATGTGCAGTTCAAGGGTTAAGATAGATTATCTTCATGTAATAAGTTTTATCAGAGTCCATCAGGTGCTAGATGTCTAGTCTTTCAAGTTGCCAATAATGCTAAATGAAAGGAAACGTGTATAACACGAAAGTTCTGTACTAGAAAGAGGTACTAAAGTAATGATAAAAAATATGTAGTATGGTTATTTTATCACCAAGCTGACATGGTCAACAAAGATAACCTGGTGGTGAACATAAACCATCTAAGAAGTGTTTGCAAGGTGGCAAGAATACAGTGGTTCTGTAATTGGATATCTAAGGGTGCTAAGGTGAAATAATTAACATGTTGACTTATACAAATCATTGTTCTAGAGTTAATGTACATGTTAGTGACATAAGGATGTGTGGAATGTTATTTACATTTGCAAATATTGTATAATATTAATGTATACCTGAAAATGAGTAAGAACTACAGAATGTTAATTTAAATTTAATCAATATTGTTTCCAAAAGGGCTAAATGTTGTGTTATTGAAGGGAGTCATCACATTTTTAAAGAGTTTGATCATTCATTTTTCCCAAGTTTTAAGCAACTTCACTGTGAAATTGATGTGCTACCATTTGGTATAATGGACAACTAGTAGGAGAACCGGTGTATAGATTGTTTCCATCAATAGATTGGTTCTCATTTATAGTATTTATGAGGATGCAGCTCTTAAGAGTTTGTCAAAGGTGGGACCATGAGTGAATGGGGCTATTTGACTTTCCCATGGGTGAAAATTGTAGTTTTAACACAATATTTTCTGTGATATCTTAACCTTGGTCCATTTAACAATTTAGGAGATAATGTTTCAGAATACAATTATCGCACTGAGGTCTACTGAATGATGATCAGAATTAGGAAATACTTATTTGTGGAGATTTATGTATATTAATAATCACACTATGCAATTTCATATGAAACATTTTTTTGAGGGATCCATGATAGGCAGGTTCAAAGTTGGAAGGTGTCACTCGAAAGGTCATTATTGTTCATATAAAAGTAAGTACAGTATGTACTGTATTAAGTTGTTAATGGTATTTTCAGGCTGTGAGTTTGTTCAGCAGTGGCCTTCAGTCAGGGCAGTTAGGCCCTCTCATTAACCAGTTTGGTCTTGGAGAGGATGCTGTTTTGGCTGCCTCGTCATGTGATATGGAAGCATTTATTAAGGTTGGTTGCTTACATTGTGTTCACTATCCATTGGCCAATACCTCTTACTATGTATATAATGTCTTGAGAAAATATAAGTAGAACAATATTTTATTTTGGGCTGGGGCATTTACAATGGTGTGTTTGGAAGCAAATGTTGTTATAAGCATTTTAATTGTTTAAAATATAATGGATAGATTTGAGTCATTAGTATGAAAACTTTATATGGGAGACGAGTTTTAATGAAAATTAACAGTTTAAAATGAAAACTGTGAAGGTGGATTTTCTGTTGGGGGAGGGAGGGGGGACATTTGTTGTTAAACATAAAGCACTAGTATTCTTGGATTTAGTAGTTGTCACCACGTGGGGTAGTAATGTAGAGCGGACACACGTAGTCAGTACGGTTCGCAGGAATTGTATGTGCTAGTTTTGTTGAAAAGTTACGATTTTATTTGTCTGAACGTGTATATAGATACCCATGTCCGTCTTTGCATGTCTCGGTATTCACCGAGTCTATATAACCAGGTCTGGGAGTCGTCATCGGTCCGTGAGGAGTGGCTCGGTGCCGCTATACTCCTTATTCGGAAACCGGGGTCTCTTGGGACCCCCCCCCCATCCCCCTAAGAATTTCTGCTCTATTGCCCTCACAAGTTGTCTGCAAACTCTTTGAACGAATAGTCAGTGTTCATCTGGTGTGGTTCTTGAAAGAATTTCACCACCTTTCCCCCTTCTCAAATTGGTTTTCGCAAGTGCTGCAGCACGACAGATGCCCTGGTGAAATTGAAATCTATATTTGTACTGCTTTTGCTGCGAAGACCTCTGTTGTTGCTGTCCTTTTGACCTGGAAAAGGCTTATGACACCACCTGGAGATACTATATTGTTTCCCAACTTCGTTCTTTTGGTCTTGGTGGTAATCTCCCTCTCTTCTTCCAAAGCTTCCTGTTTCTCGTCGTTCCTTTAGAGTGAGGTTTGGTGCAACTCTCTCTGCCTCTTTGTGATATGTTATGTGTGTAATGTTACGGCCCTCTCGGGTCGCAACGGGATTCGTACTCTGATGTCGTTAGAGGAAGTTGTATCCGGCCCCAAGCCAGTAGTGGCTTTCAAGGGATGAGATCCGTGACGCAAGTAAAATAAAAGGGGAAGGGAAATATAGTTAAGAACTTAAGATTATAATTGTTCCCATCACCAATAAATAATATAAGATTACACAGGGGGAGGGGTATTAACACTGCACAAGGGAATTATTTACACAATTGTCTTCTTCTGAAGACTCTGGATCCAAACTCTCGGTGCTTTCGTGGTCTCTTGACGAATCTTTCGACCAAGCTGAGTCTACCCCAAACACAGGCCAGCCAAAACACAGGTCCACTGGGGGCACCGCCGTGGAGGCCGTCAACCACAAGTCCAGCAGGACTGCTGGCAGGTTCCGGATCAACAACGCTGGTCAAGCCACTCCACGAGCGATACTAGGGTAGCGCCCTAGTCAGGAGCCTCGTGTGATACCACAAATCACTCTCCTGTCCTCAATACCCCAGTGGATAATCGTCTCCAGCAGTCGGTCCCGGGTACGACGATCCTTCACTGCCGCTTCACAGGCAGGGTAACACCACAGTGTTCATCCGGGAGGCGACTCACGGCTGCTATAGCAAAGCACAAGGTATGGGGACGGCTGCCTTGGGTAGACTGACTCAACTTCCATCACAGCAGTCCCAGGTCGACTCTGTAAGCAGACACGTCATCAATAACAGGGACACTAAAACACCTCACTTACAGGCTCAGACACAAACGCCCGACATATCCACTCCATAGATGGCGTTGTAGTCTGAGCACCACCTCACCAGAGGTCAGCAGCGGCGGTGTTGTGAGCTGAACCGGACTGGAAACTGGCCCTTGTGGCCAGTACACCTTGTCCTCACCAGGCGTCATCGTCGTCCATTTGGTGGGGGTTTCGGGAGCTGACCCACAGATGGCGCGGTTGTCACTGCTCCGTGCTCGGATGCTGGATCCGGGTCCGTAACTGGCAATACGAAGGTGTATCCCAAAGTAAAGTAGTGTTCTGAGCACTACTCTTTTTCTTGTTGCCCTCAATGGTCTTCTTTCCTCTCTTCCTTCTGGCGTCTTCTGTGCTCTCTATGTTAAAAATCTTGCCCTCTGCTGTCAATGTTATGATTCACCCCTCCTTCACTGGCGGCTTCAAGTTGTGATTGATGACATGCCGTCTTTGGCCATCAATCATGGCTTTTAAGTTTTCTGCAACTAAGACTTATGCTATGACTTTTACTTGGAAGCGTGTCGTTCTTCGTCCTTCTTTGTCGCTTTATGGTCATTCCCTTGTGTGGAAAGATTTCGCAAAGGTTTTTGGGTTAATTTTTGACACTCGTTTGTCTTGGTCACCCCATATCTCTTACCTCCGAGTTGAATGCTCTAAGGCCCTTAACCTACTTAAGGTTTTGTCCCATACTTCTTGGGGAGCGGATAGGCGCACGTTCCTCTTTACATTCCTCTCTCGTACTGTTTAAACTCGATTATGGTTGCCCTGCTTGCTACTTGTCTGCTTCTCCTCATACTCTTTGCCGTCTTGATGCTTTGCACCATACTGAGTTGCGCCTTGGCTTTGGTGCCTTTCGTTCGACTCCTACCCTCGGCTTGTATGTTGACACTGGCTTCCTATCTCTCCAGGACCGCTGCAATTGCTACTGTGTTCGCTACCTTGCGCAGTCCTTATAATACCCTCACTCTTGCCTATGTCGTGGTTTGACTTTTACTCTTCTTGTAGCTCCTGTTCCCCTTCACCCACCTCGGTCTTTCTGGTCGGTTGTCTCGCCTGCAAAAATCTCTTTCGGTTAGTATTACCAATATTTCTCCTAGTATTGCATTTTTGCGCTCCTGTGGAGGGTTTCCCTTGCTAAATTTTGTAAATCCCTGAGCCACATTACTTAAACTTTTACCCCTCCTACAGTTCTGAAATGCCCTATCCTTGAACACTTTTCTTCACACTCCCGCTCCATTTCCATCCTCACTGATGGGTCTAATTTTGCAGACGGTGTAGGCCATCACATAACTGTTGTTATTTCCTGACCACACTTATATATGTGTCGGCTGCTCTGGAGACTTGGGCCTAGATTCAGGAAGCTCTGTGTATTTCTTCGTAAGTGGGTTTGCTACGAAGGTTCCTAAGTGCGCCCTAAGAAGATGCTTAGGTGCGATTCAATAAGGTATACTTAGGAAGAAAATTGTTGGTTCACCTGGGTGCCGATAGAGGTCACTACTGTGTTTCGTTTGGCCAATCAGAGAGCAGCAACATTCTTCATATTGAAGATTTAGCGCTGGCTTATCGGAGCTCTACTGCCTCCTATTTACGTCAAATTTTCTTATAAAATTAGTATATTTCGAAGTAAAACAATGTTTTTTCAACTTCTACAGCCAGCACCGACATTGTAGTAAACAAATATGTTACATTTGTTGTTTACCTACGTAATTCTAAGAGATACTGTGTAGCTGTCCTTGTTGCTCGGAAAATGCGCTGACAATTATTGTATATATTTACTGAATTTACCCAAGGGCCACTAACTATCTAGTGACCTCGAAGAGGACAGAAAGCCGGCGGCTTGTTAAAGGGCCCGCCAATTGTCTTAATGATATTTTTTAGCTGGAATTTGGCATTTACGGCTTCAGCGGGTAGGCGGTTCCATGGGTTTATAGCCCTCTTGGTGGAAAAAAACATCTGTTTTCACTCCTACTTGAGAGAACATACTCTCTAACACTATATCTGTGATTGTCCTGTTATCAGTGACTTCATACCAAATGGTATGAGGTATTTTGAGCTCTATAATTACTTCATACACTCAGGAATATTGGAAGATATTCTTCTGCTGCACCCAGATTTTGCCAGTGGAGGCTAATAGATCAGCATTAAGTATTTTGTTCTCTCCTAATTCCATGTATGACTGGCCATCCTGTGAGGTGAGGATGTTGGGTGAGCTTGTAGCTGGTTTTTTATCTACACTGTGTGGTCCTTTATACAGAATAGGGAAGCAGCACATTGTTGTGTATACCTAAACATGTTTAAAAATACATTGTTTGAGAGGAGTTTTGTAGAAACTGGTAAGAATAATTATAATATAATGTTTTCATGATTCAGTGCTTACCTCTTGTGAAAATTGCTTAGAGTTGTTTAGTCAGAGTTGATTTGTTTTTTGTATTGAGGCTGGTATTTTCTAAATTGATTCCATGTACAGTATGTCTAACCATCTTGTGAGATGGGAGTATTAGATAAACTTATAGCTAGTTTTTTATCTACACTGTGTAATATTCCATATAGAATAGGGTAGTAGTACATTGCTGTGTATACCTAATCTTCTTAATAAAAAAAAATCAGTAATAAAGATTTTAAATTATAGTTTGTATTATTACAAATACAGTACTGTATTATCCTTATTAAATCATGTTGACCATGGATCATTAAGATCTCATGTTGATATGTAATACAAGTCATATTTTTTTTGAACTGCTAATCCATGCTAATAATTCATTAAATTGTGCATTATGTCTCAATTTTTCACTTCCTTGGATATACTGTACAGTACAAGAAGATAGGATAAAAATAAACCAGTAATATTTCTTTCATTATATTTTTCATTTAAATAACTGCATCAATATTTTTACAGCTGTCAGGATTTGTTTTCCCATACAGGTGCATTATTTGTTAAAAAAAATTTGGTTTATTGTTACACACAATGGTGCTACATAGCCTTCCCAGCTTGGTGCCTTCTTTTAATACTTACTGATTAAATAATAAATAATAAATACATTTTATTCAGGAAAAGTACATACAGTTGATTTACAAATATAATGTTGGATTTATAGGCAGAGCTAGTACATACAATACCTAAAGCCACTAATACTCATAGCATTTCGGGCAAGGTGTGGGGGGGAAAAAACACAGACTAAAACTTAATAGTAATCGGGATTAGGTATAAATTGTGTTAAAAGAAGGAATAAAAAATACAAAAAGGGGGTTAACATAGCATAAATCAGCAATTGCACATGTTGGTGAACAGCGTTGTTTAAAAAATAGCAAGACATGGGTTGACATTTAGGAGGTAAGTTAGGTTACATGGAGTTAATTAGGCAGTACTTGGTTTAACTCTTAAACTGGTTGAGAGAGGTACAGCCTTTGACATGATTCGGGAGGTCATTCCACATTCTGGGTCCCTTGATTTGTAGAGCACTTCTAGTTTGGTTACACACAGCCAAATTGAGTAACAGGAAGAGGTCTTGGACACAAATTTGTTCCATGCTAAATGTAGAGGAATCAGCTGAGTATTCCTCAAATAAAATAAGTTGCCTCAGCTTATAAGGTAAATAAAATAAGCATTTCTCAAATAAGTAGCTGCCTCACCTCACTGCCTTACTGCTACATAGCCTTCCCGGCATAATGCCTTCTTTTGATAATTACTTGTTCCACACCCAAATTGTATAACAGGAAGAGGTCTTGGCCCCCTACTTCCCTCTCTCTTTTTTAATAATCTATATAGTCATAATTATAGCTTTAAGTATTCAATGAATAAAGTTTGACATTTTTACCCTTTTCCTTACCTAACATCATTTGTGCAGCATATTTTTATTTTATGTCTCACCCAGATTTAATTTCAAAATAAAACCAAACTAAATAAATTAGAAATGGGTATGTATAGCTAAGGTACACCCTTACTACTAGGTGAACAGGGGCATTTGGTGATAGTAAATGATCCCATCAGGCAGGGCTCATCACCTTCTCTCATATTTCATGTTCACCAGTGTTTATTTACTTAATAACTACTGGTATAATATCTTGCTATTATAAAACTAATTCTACTATCATCAAACACATATTTACTTCAAGTTTCAAGCAGAGAATGCATATATAACTAACACGAAGGACTCCTCTTCACTAGATTCACCAGCTATAATATTTTGGTCATGTTCCAATATCATAAATCGATCTCAGTCTTATGTAGTAGAGAAAAAAATGACTTGTATCCAGTTTACGTAAAGCTACGAGTGGTCGAAACCACACTTAAATCCCGGAATGAACTTACGAAGGTTTTTCCATTTAGGGTAGTTAATTGAATACGGACGTAGCCGCCACGAAGGCGCTAAGACGGAAAACGCTCTTAGCTAAGAGGAAAAACCTTCGTAAGTACCTTCCTGAATCCGGCCCTTGGCTGGCATCTTCACGGCAGAACTTTATGCCATTCTCTATGCTCTGCTTTCCGACTGTCCCTTGCAGTCAGTTGTCCCTCGATAGAATTGTTGGTGAATCGGATACATTTGATATTATTCGCCTTATGCGTTTCTGTTCTCATATTGGCATCGTTGGTGATATTTAGCGCCCTCTGATTATTCCGCACCATTGATAGTGCTACATAGCCTTCCCGGTTTGGTGCCTCCTTTTGATAATTTATTGATAATTACTTGCTCTATATAGATGCACATCAAAATGTAGGTTGTTACCTGATATCATAGGATACTGTGCTATCACCGGGAAGGATGTTAATTGAGGTCATGGTGACCTGACCACATGTTGCTAGGATATTTCCAGGTGTTTGGTTAGTACCAACAAACTAAATGGTGGCGTATCGCCCACACTAAACAATAGAATACAGTAATAAGCTTTTGTCATCTCATCACATAACTAGACAATTGATACTTTGCCTCATAGTTGTGAATTGCCAATATGGATACATACTGACAGTAAAATATTTTTGATAATAAACAGAACAGATTTTTTGAATGTTTAAATAATGACCAAGTGTTTGGACAAGTATCCCTAGCTTTAAAAGTAGAATAAAAAAACAATAGGATGTTGATAGTGTTTAGTTGTCGATTTAGTGTAGTTCATTGCCTGTAAATACAACTAGGACAGTAGAGCAGACATATTTAGTATTGTATTTGGGGTGTCAAGAAACCAGTCATGGTACTATTTAATCGATCATTCATAGATTTTATTTCTTACTTTCAGGCCTTGGGAAAGAAGAAAGGTAAAGAGGAAGGCAGTAAGAAGGAAGAAGAGAAGGAGGTTTCTGATAAAACCAAGGATCAAGATAAGGATGATGCCATGTCTGTTGACTAAGTGGTGTCCATGGATATGTTTGCCTTCAACTTTATATCTTGTTTTACCATTGGATACTTATGCCTAGATTTGTAAAGGGACCTATGACCTCACTGTGGAATTGCATGTCAAAGGTAATTCCTTTAATTATCAGTTATGAGATAGTGATGATATGTGCCATTAATACAGGAGTGTACTGCCAGCATCACATGTTCATTATTGTATTAGTTGATTTGTAATGTACAAGTTGGGATTTTTGAATGTAGTTTGATAAGTCTGAAACAGCAGACTAATAGAACACATTAAATAATATACGCAAACATAGTAGTGTTAATAACCTTTAGTAATGTTCAACAGTTGTGTACACAGTGATAAGTGTATGGATTGATAGTTTGAGTTACGACCAAGATTGTAATACATAGTTTTATGTTTTGGATATTTACATAGACTGTAGGTGTTCATTTGTAGTGAAATCTACTGGCATATCCTTCAATAAATATTTTTTTAAAATACATAAATAAATAAAATATAAATAAAATATTAGATTATATCTAGAACATTATATATATTTTAGATGTATATCTAGGATGCATCTACATTATCCGATATACATATTCAGATTATATATTATATATAGATAATCTAGAATATATATATAGAATAATTCTAGGATATGTAGGATATTTATTATATCTATATAGTTAGGATAATTATTGTAGATGAATAATTATCCTAGCAGTATACCTGTGTGTGTGTGTAATATATATAATATAAATAAATGAAAACTGGCACCATCATGACCGGACAGAAGGAAGTGATAGCCGAAGCTATTTGAACCACTTCCCCGCCGGCACTCGGATGGTAATCTTGGGCATAGCATTTTATGAAATCACCTCATTCTTTGGGGCACACGTGAGGAACACAAATGCGAACAAGCGTAAATGGTCCGTAGGACTATATGCAATTGAAATACTCGGTTGCATATAGTCCTGGGGCCAGGTAACATGTCCTGGGCTGACATTGGGAAGAGGGTCGTGGCTGGGACACTACCTCGTGACTGTTCCTGGACCTAGTCTGGCATGTGTCGCTTTGGGTGGGCGGCTGGAGCCGTTTGTGTGGACTTGAGATGTGAGCACCAAGCGTCTTGCAGGTTGTGGATTTGTGCGTATTTTGCTGTCTGAAGAAAACAGAGAACCCAAGGAGAGTGGTAGAAGTTAGGTTCAGCTAAGGTAGAAATGACCTAGGAAAAGAAATAATCGGTATTCTAGAATATTAAATGATATTTAATAAAATATAGAATAATGTGAAGCAATAAATGTAGAATAATGAATAATACTTAATAATATTTTAAAATATTGAATAATAATCAAAATTCAATAATATTTATTAATTAATAATAAATATCCATATTTAATATTCCATATTATTGAATATAATTTAATATTAATCAATAATGACTAATATTTGATATTATTGAATATTATTGAATAATATTTGATGTTATTGAATAATAATGAGTAATAATCGATATTAATGGAAATATATATATATATTATATAATTGATATTATTGAATAATATTGAGTAAATACTAATAAATAATAATAATCGATATTAATGGAAATATATATATATATATATATATATATATATATATATATATATATATATATATATATATATATATATATATATATATATTATATAATTGATATTATTGAATAATATCGAGTAAATACTAATAAATAATAATAATCAATATTATCGAATATTATTAATAATGACTAATACTGTATATTATTCAATACTACTGAATAATAATATTTATGAAGAGTATTACTATTGAAAAATATTCAATACTAGGAGTACTGTACCTCTGAACGGGTTGCTGAGGCACAGCAACCTTCATTGTCGCCCACCATTCCCGTCCCCTCGGCCTCCCAACCATTCCCCGACATGACGGCGACAGGACGGCGGCGCCTTGTCAAAGGTCTGCCTTCCTACTTCCCCCCCCCCTTATTTTATTGAGGATTTGTCTTGTGTATATTGTGAACAAAAGGAATGACTCGTGTTATGATCTCAGCCTACAGGAGAAAAGAGTCTCCCCCTTGAGTTATTCAACAAGCCTGACCTAACTAGGAGGTCGGAGATATACTGACATGAAGATTCATATACAGAAATAATTAGGAAAATTCGCTGAGCAGTTTAAAATAATGGACAGTGAAGAAGAAAACAGATAAATGACCGGTTAGGAGATGTAGATACTTTGTGGGAGGCGTGAGGCTCGCTTCTGGAGGGCTTTGACCTCACTTGAGCCACAGACATCGCAGGGGAAAGCCGCACTCCGTTGAGCTCCCGTCAGAAAGGAACCCCTAGTGATATATCTCCAAGAGAAGAGAAGTGTGCAGACGTGCCAGCTGTAGAATCGAGCTGGGAACGTTGTGATCTCAAGTTCTGGTCGACGAGGAGTGTTTATTAAACCGCCCAGAGGCATTATTGTGGGCCGTGGCAGCGCCCTGACCAAGCTTCGCCAGAGGGAGGAGCGCCCTCGACCAGACAATCTGTGGTTTGTCCTTAGGGAGGAAGTTGCTGAGAACTTCGAAGCCAGCACAGAGGAAGTAGTTGATGAGACTCCAAGTTAGTGGAGCAGAGGACCTCGAGCTGTGAGGAGAAGCAGTGAAGAGGAGTGTCACGTGCTTCTGTAGAGGTGATGAAGCACCATAGTTGCTCGAGGGAACTTCATGGTGTAGCAGCCCAGAGAGCTGTGGAGGAACCTAGCAGAAGGGTGAAGCACCGTAGTTGCGCAAGGAAACTTCATATTAGCAGCCTGGAGGAGCTGCAGAGGATCCTGGTAGTTAAGCCCGGAAGAACCTGAAGAGATCAGGGTAGTGAACTTCCAGAGGTGGAAGGGAAGTTCTGGTGGAATACTTGTAGGGAGTTGATAGTGTTTGGTTGTCATTAGCGTGCAAGACGCAGTGAGAGGTGAGTAATTGTTTGCATTCTTATGTCAAGGAGTGTTTTATACTGAAGTTTAGAGTTACAATCGTAGGCTGGATTACCTACAGATGTATGTGTTCTAGGAGTGATAGTGATCGATTGATCATTGTTGTGTACCAAGGAATAGTTATACCGATATATATATATGTTATTGCATGCAATGCTGATTTTCCTTGTACATGTGTATAGATATATTCTCTCGCTGATTAGTGCAACATTGTAGTATAAGACTTGATCTATTTGAGGAGGTTGATAGTATCAGGTGGTGAACCAGGAGATAGGATACCACTTGATAAGCTGATGATAGAGTTCTGATGGTGTTGGAGTGCAACCTGATTGTAATAGTATAGAGTATAGGATTCATAATTATTATGTGTGTATGTACTCTGTCCAGTAAATGTATTCCATTTTACTGGTGTTTGCCCTTATCCTAGTGAGGCTTCCCAGGAGGTAGTTAAGAAGGAGAGAGAGAGAGAAAGAATCAAGAACCACTACTGTGGACAGGGTAGAAGGTAATACTAGTAAGTCAAAGGGGATTGAGGAGATCATATCACCTAAGGAGAGAGTGGGGAGTCACAGCGGCTCGAGTGGGTGTGTGCACGTGACAACGAGGCTAAGTATTGGAGCCGCATCCCCTAAACGTGTGACGTTGAGCCCCTCTCCAAGAGCCAGAAGCGCCAGGGGTGATCTGGTAAAGTATAGACACACTACCGAGGTGTGGGTTGGGTTGTCCAGAAGGAAGGATCAGCAACGACGACAACACAACCAACACACAATCTATAATACTCGGCATTTACGACTTGAGTGGTTAAGCGGGTTCATGGGTTAATAACCCAATGGGGGGAACAACACATCTATTTTCTGTGTTACATTGTGGCTTGTTGAGCTTGAAGCTGTTGTCCAGCCTGTCTGTCAAATATGGCATTTTAGAGAAGTGGTCTGTATTAATAGCCTCCAATTTGGTCACTATTATAATTTTTTTTTTTTTAATTTGTAATACTGACCAAGTTGGAGGTTATAAATACAAAGCACTTCTCTAAAATACATTACAAAGTATAAAGCAATGCATTAAAATAGTATTACAAAGGCCTCGGCTGTTATTTATTTATATAACTACAAGTTACATTGGGTTTCTGAGAGTACATGGCATGATGTGTTCACATTCTTGTAAAGCCACTAGTACGCATATCGCTTTGGGCAGGGCCTTAATCTAACAGATAATATTAAGTAGGTAATTTCTAACAAAATTTATAGGGTAATCTATCAAAATCTATAACAATTTAAACATTTATAGTGTTAGTCCTTCAAAGATTCGAGGTAGTGACAGTTGAACAAGTTCTGGCATGATTGTTGTTGCTGTCTTGAACTTTATACAAAGCGGAAAATCATTGATGTGTTTTTGAAGTGAGGTTTCCATATTAGGACACAGTAGGCCAGATGGGGCCACAAGAGAGACTCGTACAGTTGAATATTCAATGTTGTTCGTTTAAGTCAAAGATTCGTTTAACTATTCTTAAGGATTGTTTTCATATTAACTGTGAGTCCCAGATGTTTAATGGCTGGTACATCATAACTCCTAGGTAATATTTACTTAAATTTACCAGAGGGCCACTATTTCTCCATAGTGCCTTCTACGGCAACAGGAAGCCGGCGGCTTGTCAAAAGTTCCCTACGGTTCCTGAGGAGTTTGTCTATCTGTATTTTGAGCGTGCAAACTGTTGCATTATGACATTAAAGGTAGTTTGATAATATGCACAACGTGATTTGTAGCTAAGGTAAAGGTGACATGTAATGTTTAGCAACAAGTCACCCTAGATTGTTTAGTGTGTTGACGACGACGTTTCGGTCCTGGACCATTCTCAAGTCCACTTGAGAATGGTCCAGGACAGACCGAAACGTCGTCGTCCCTTCACCTTCTAGTGTGTGGTCTGGTCAACATACTTTAGCCACGTTATTGTGACTCGTCGCCTACACTTAGTGTGTTAACGACTAGGGCGATGGAGTGGTCATATCAGGATGGCAATTGTGCAAATAAATGTG